AGCCGAGTTGGGACTAAGGGGGCTACAGGAGGAAAATACCCGGTCAGGTGGCAAAATAACCGACCGGGTATTTATCAATTTGGGCACCCGTGAGAAACAGAAGGGGGCCCGGGAAAATGGCTAAAATCCCCGGTCAGGGATTATTGAGTCAGGCCGGGGATTTCCCCTGGATGAAACGGCGCGTTTTGCATATACCCGGTCGAGACCCAAAATACCCGACCGGGTATTTCGACAGGGTATCGCGATCTGGTAGCTGATAAAAGGGAAAAGAAGGCCAACTTTCAAGGGTTCCGAGTTTTTGAGAGAGAGCGATTCCTAGAGAGAGAAAGCGACGAACCAGAGTTCCCAAGTGCCATAGCTTGATCTTCATCACCATTGGAGCCCGGCTTGAGCTTGGAGAAGTGCCGATTAAACGTCCAGGAGCAGAAATCCGTCTTCACAGTATGATTTACGCGTCTGAATCTGCTTTTGCTTCTTTCTCTATGGAGTAGTTCCCCCATTCATCTGGGTATGGGGAACCCTAGATTTGTATGCTAGGTCTGATTGTATGAACCCAAGTACAGAGTTTGTGAATTGATTATATTCGATTGAGGTTGGAATGATTGAATGACTTGAATCCTGATCAAATTCCTGTTGTTTCTGCTTTGACCTAGAATGAGAATATCTGCCTAGGTTGATAGAGTACCCTTAATTGAAGATAGCGAATTGGTGACTTTAGTCGAGGAGCCAATTCGCTATTCTGTACCGAATTCCATTCGGTAGTGGAGGTTTGGTTCGTTAGGGCCTCAATCTGTTTACTCCGGTGGAGGTTAGTCGCCCGCTAGAGACTCAGATTGAGAGGGTCTGAAGACCTTTAGTCGAGACTTCAGGCTATTTAAGAACCTTCCGCAGTATAACTTTCATAAAAACTGAACTTGGTAAATTGCAATCCGGCTTAACTGCAGTCTAGGGGGAACCATATCCGGGTGACCTCTCTTGACTTGAACAACCGTTTAACTTGCTTTGTGTTTTTTGTTTGTTTGAACCTGCACTAAAAGTTCACTACTAGATAACGAGAATTCACCGAGTAGTCATCACATCTAGGACCCGGGTTGACAATAAAACCCAAACCCGCTATACTACGCTTTAGGAAGTGGTTACACTTGGCCATTTTCTAGAGTGACAGTAGGAGTGAGTCACATTTGAATTCCTACAACACTTCTTTCACATTTCATATAAATTCCTCTTCTCTTTCTCGGGGAAGTGATGCTCACAATGTTAGTTATCCTCTTGCTTCTTATGTAACCTATTCATATTTTAAGTCTCATTATTAACCGTTTCTTGCAGTTATCACCCAACATAACGAGCCTACTTCTTTTTATCAAGCCATTCGGGTACAATATTGGCGGGATACCATGACTCGTGAAATTGTGGCACTTCAACAAAATGCACTTGGAGTTTAGTTTATCTACCTCCGGGAAGCATGCCATCACTTCTAACTGGGTCTATTAAATCAAGTATCATCTCAATGGCTTTGTTGAGCACTATAAAGTGCGTTTGGTGGCTAAAGATTATACACAAATTGAAGGGTTGGATTTTCATGACACCTTTGCTCCTGTTGCCAAGTTGGTCACTGTTTGATATATGATTGTTGTAGCGATTGGTTTCTTCATCAACATGACGTCAATAATTCCTTTTGCATGGTGATTTGCAAGAAGAGGTTTATATGGAGATCCCACAAGCTTTTCGTGCTCCTTTAGACACACGTGTGTGTCGACTTCATAAGTCAATTTATGCTATTTTTCCAGGCGTCACGTATTTGGTGTCCCAAGTTCACTACTTCTTTGTGCGAACGAGGTTTTCGAGCATCTCCTGTTGATCATTCCTTGGTTCTTTATTGGGAGTACTTTCGTTGTTTCACTCATATAGGTGGATGACGTAATCCTGACAGGAAATTATCTATAGTTCATTATGAAAATCAATTAGTTTCCTTCATGCTTGGTTTAGCATCAAGGACCTTAGATCTCTCCATTATTTTCTTGGGATCGAAGTGGCTCGTACTACAGATGGTGTTGCTCTCACTCAATACAAATACGTCCTGGATATTTTAGAGGATGCAGGTGTGCAGTCTTCTCGTCAGAGTGTCTTTACCATTGAGTAGAATCATCACTTTACTCGACCAAGTGATGAAGTGTTGGATGATCGGTCTTCTTGTTGGAGCTTAGTCAATCATTTGCTCAATTTGACAGTGACTCGTCCCCATATCACTTATGCTATGAACATTCTCAGTCAATTTGTTCATGCGCTTAGTCTTATGCACATGGATGTTGCCTACCGCATCCTGCGTTATCTCAAGTCCTTGCTGGGACAAGGATTGTTCTTTGCCATTGACAATCCTCTTCGCCTTATTGTTTACTGTGACGCAAATTAGGGGTGATGTCAGACGACTAGACGGTCTGCTTCTAGTTATTTTATCAGTTTGGTCGGTTCTCCCATCTCGTGGAGAATAAAAAAGCAACGTGTTTCTCCGCGTTCTTTGGCTGAAGTAGAGTACCGAGTCATGGTCGCACTGTTAGTGAAGTTATATTGCTTTATTGGCTGCTATGTGAATTGGGTGTCTCGCAACCTCATCCCACTCTGTTGCATTATGATAATCAAGCAGCTTGTCATATTGCTAACAATCATGTCTTCCATGAATGCACAAAACATGTATGATGGATTGTTACTCTTATCTGTCAAAGTTCGGACTGAGTTGCAGCTTGCAGATATCCTCACGAAAGGGCTTGGTGTTGATAGGTTGTTTTCTACAGTCCAAGCTGAATGTGTGTGACCTCCACATATCAGCTTGTGGGGAGTATTTGACCGAGTCAAGTCAGGTCCCGCAGAGTATGAGGAGGCCCAGCCCGCTCCTCACACAGATGTCGCTTGGAGGACAAGATACAAGAGTTGTCGTTATGCTTCTAGTAGTTTTGCCTTGTTGTACACATACCATAATTGATTCCAGTGTAGAAGGGTATATAAATTGTTGTAAGGTCATTGGCCAATAAAAGAAATCGCCATTCTCCCATGGATGTAACCCTCACATGTTGTAAGTAGGGGTGAAAATCGGTACGGTATCGGTATCCCAATACCAAATAGCGAAATCTCGAATACTGAATTACACCCTATAATCAATACCAATCCCAATTCCTAAATAATTTTGGTATCCCAATCTCAATCCCTAAATATTTCGGTATCCCAATCGGTACTTCGGTATCCCAGTCGGTATTATCGAATACGAAATTTATTACCTTTGTAATTAATATTTAAATATATATAAATTAGATTTGATTTTTTAATTTAGGCCAAAGAGACTAAGCAACGAGTCTTGAGTTTGTCTAGAGCTAGGATATGGATAAGGATAATGGAGGAGAGGTGACATCTCAAATTCTTGTCATTGGTAATCTTTAATTGGACGAATTGGAGGCTGAGAGACGACTATACTAGTGTTTGTTTTTTGGTGTTATGAAAATAACAAGAAATTAGGTGAGAGACGAGAGTGACTTAAACGGGAAACTCAAAATTGAGTTGGATGGGGGCTTCTAAGTTGTGAAAGATTGAGGAATGACCAAAGATTGTGCGCTACATTTTATTAATTTTTTATTTTTGATATTTCTCAGTATCTCGGTATGTACCGATCTCAATCCCGTAATCCCCAATACCGAATAGCACCCCAAAATAAATTCCAATCCCTAAAAAATAAGTCGGTATTCGGTAATACCAAATAGTGATAAATTCGGTACGGTATTCGGTATATATCCCAAATACTGGTACCAAACTTTCAGTCCTAGTTGTAAGGAAGAACCACGTATAACATCGTTTTCTTTACTTAATCGTTCAATCTTCATATAAAGCCTCTATTTCCATACCCAACAAATGAAACTGGTCACAACTTCAACTCACAACTAGTGATGACAATGGAGCGGGGCAGGGTTGTTACTTCAAAATCCATACTCACCCCGCACCAGCGTTGATCGGGTCGGTAAAACCCGTGTGGGGACGGGGCGGGGCCAATCGACCCATTCTTACATGTTACTGAAAAATATACACACAATTTTATTTTTACTATAAAATGAAGGGAGTGTATTTTATAAATGAAAAATAGTGATAATAGAAAGGATACCTTAGTCTAACCAGTTGAAAGATCATGTCCAACTAGTTGAAGAAAATTTAAAATATAAGAAATATTAATAGATATTATAAGAAATTGAGATAGAATGAGAAAAAAACGAAATAGAGCGGAGCATAAGTAGATACACATGACCGTCCCACACTACTACAAGTCGGGTAACACCCGCCCCATCGTGAATCAGATCGAGTAATGTCCAATGAGACTGAAATTACCATCTTACTCACAACATATATATTTGTTTGATTATTCAAAAATTAGCTCTTGTTAAGTTGCTATTAGTGGGCGGAGTACATGTGATCCACTGAAATAGTGTACCTGTCTGTCTGTAAATAAGCAGCTGAGAGAGCAACATATGATTTCGTAAAATTTTGGCCCATTTTGATTTGTTGGTATGCAGCATGAGATATGATTCGACAGTGCCTCAGAGCCAGAACAGAACTCGCTTCTGAAAATTCTTGTGCACTTTCCCCTGTCTGACAAACTGAAAATAACAGCATATAAAATTATCAGTACACAGAGAATAAAAAAATATATGTTGTGTACTACTATCCATCTCATCCAATAAAATATATGTAGGCTTTGAAATTAGTTTTTCATAAGTATGCAAATTTGATCTGTTATGTTAAATTTTCGTACAACAATCTGGGTTATATTTGTTTATACAAAGTGTACCATCTCCTTCAGTCATCACGATAGTGGTGACAATGGGTAAAGTGATTTGTTGTTGTAGCTTTTCCATGTCACGTTATGTAAAATTTATTATTCATGTCAAAACGCATGTATGTATTTGGTAATTAAGCGGAGAGCAACTTGTTAATGCGACACTTGAGAAACTAATTTCACATTTGTACTAATACTTATAAGACTAGATATACAAGTCTCAAAATAGGACTCCAGACGTTTGATAAACAACGCTTGGTCAAAAGGATTCTCTAATATCACCACCTAACTTATCTGGACCTAATGAAATGAGACATGAAGTTCACAGAAGAGCTAGTAGAGGGTAAAACAACTTATTAAAATGATGCAAAGAGAGATGGCCAAAGAATTGAGAACCCTACCCCTCACTTTCATTTTCCCCTACTCCAGTCTAGGGTTGGGAAGACAAAGATGGTTGACCACTAAAAATTCTGATTCCTCCCATCCTCAATCATGATCTATATATATATGCCCAGTTCAGGCATACTCTTTTTATACAGTAAACTGGGTATACAATACAAGGGGAGAAATGAGAGATTTCTTTGCACTAATTCCCCTCTAATGATCTATCGATTGGGGATTTGTTTGATTAGTAGTCGAACCACCATCTCGCTGCATCGCCACCACGGGTTCATTGCATTTGGGGCACCGGAATGATGGAGCTGCAGAGCAACGTGTTCTAAGACAGTAGTAGCAGTACCTGCCAACCCAAGATCTAAGTTTTCAGGCTTTTAAGCAGCAAAGTGTCCTAGATAGTCAGCAGTGTCGAGATTTCCATACCTATGTTGACATGGGTGAGCAAGAAATGGGATGGTTGGAGTAGCTTGGCATATTGGGCAAGAACCATCATCTGACTTGGAACTTGAGGACTTATTCTTTGAGAATGGACTAAATAGGGATTTGAAGGATGATGAGTTGAGAAGCGGAAGAAGTAAAAGCAGCATCTCCTGTAACATTTAAACGAACAAATGTAAGTAGCAGATACTCGAGTGATGCAGACTACAGGAAGATAAAGTTCAACCTGTAAAAAGTAAATAGAATCCCTAGTATATGGGAATTTGTATGTTCGTACTCTGTATAAGTAGGTTATATATGTTTAAGGCCTCAATATTCGTAAGTAGAAGTGGGAATGAAATAAGATGAGATGCATTTTGACCCAATCCTTACCATCGAAAACCAATCTGCAGTTTTGGATCAAAATGTTCCAAAGCATACCATCACATTGTTAAAACAGCTGAAAGTCAGTTTACAACAGTGATCAGTAACACCTGGCAAGTAGTTTTGGCAACAAAATTATGGCAAATTCTCAACGGACATGACATTCTTCAAGTCAGTTTGCTTCTTTCACTTCTCAACTGTGTGGTAACCGAAGGAAAAATGATATTGTTGTTTCTAATATTTCCAATAAACCAAACGATAAGAGGACATCAAGATAATTGACAACTCAAGAACACCATATAACATTGAAAGATGACATCAACTTCAACATAAAAAAAAATCATCATGGTAAGAAATTTTCAGGATCGGGATAATTGGACGTCTCTTATGTTTAACTACACTATGAAATTCCATGAGACAAGCCAAACTTGACTGAAGAATACTTACTGAGAATTCGTTCCACACCAATTGACGATTCATGTACTCAAAGCTAACAGCTCTATTCATATTCGGGTTTCCATAGACAAGCCTGGCTCTCAAAGCCCGTTCAACAAGATTTCTGAACCTGCAAGAGAGCAACCATCACAAGCTGCTGATCATTGAAGGTATCATTCCAAGTGTTCCTAAGCAGACATTATCAGCAAATCTTTCAAAATTAACCATGCAGAGGAAATAAAGTTTAACCAAGGCAGCATACTACAGTACCTATTTGGAATCATATAGGTTCTAATCTTAGCACAAACAATCTTAACTTGACCTAACAATCCAAGCCCTACATTTGAAAATACAGATATGGTGATGCCGTCAGAGGCCGTAACACATACAAACGGTTCTGACTCTGCTGGGTTATTAAGCCTTAGTCTGAATCTGTCCACAACAATGTAAAGGATGGGGATCATCAACGACATATTACATGTAAATTCATCACCTTATGACTTAACAAATGAACCATCTAGAAACGTAGATAGAACATAGTCATTACCAATATCAGCAACAAGCATTAACTATCAGACCTATAGATCCAGGAAGCGTATTGAAAAGCATACCTTCCTGTGTAAAGAAATAAGAGTAGATTTGCAAAAGAAGCAGCTTTATGAAGTCCTTCAATATGCTGTATCAAAACCCAAGCTCTGCGTGCCAGTGGCCGCTGATAAACATCAAAGCAAAATCAATACCCACTTCCATTTCTCCAATCCACAGGATGAAAGGGGCGGAAAGTAAAAAAAAAATTAAGAAGTCATTAAATTACCTGTTCAGAGTCTCCCCATCTACGAAAAGCAGAGAATGACTGCAATCGTGCCCAGAAGTACTGACCACCCACGGTAGCAATGCAATACCACATTTTCTGACCAACGGTAAGCCCAGGTCCTTCCAAACCTGTTCTCACTGTAGATGCACACCAAAAGACAAGTTAAAGCTTCTGGAACATAACTGAAGCAGTGCAGAGTAATGCTTGTGATCCAAATTCAACAGCACAAGGATCTTACTCCCTCAGCTAGGGTCATCCAACTTACAAGCAAGTCTTCTACAGATTATGTTAAATATTATTAGATATTCACAAACCGTAATGTTCAAAGCATCATTCAACATATAGAAGACAAAGATTCTATATAAAGAACAAACATTGTATCTTAACTATGTGAAGACATTGTGAGCAGTGGCAGCATGAAAAGAACTGCATCATCTAAAGAAAGTGGTCGCAAGTCATCAACCAAGAGGATGGCTCAAACAAAAAGAATAGCCAACCATGAAATTTGCTATCCTTGTGCTTTAGGAAGCTGATATCCTTATTTTTATGCCAATACATTGACAAGCCCAGAAAAAAAAAACTATCTTAAAAAACTGTGCAGAGAAATGTGTTATAACACTGGCCAACGAAACTAAGCCAACAGAAATGGTTTACATTTGTTGTGTACCACAATATGCCATTAGTTTACCTCTCTTCTGTTCAACTCCTATTACTTAGGCATACCTGCTCGTTGACACCAAACCCCTGGGGTATAACTTCAGGCAAGAAAAGGAAGTCCCCAGTGACCACTTTTCATTATCCTAAATTGTCAATGCATCTACCTATCCACAGACTGGGTGAATTGCTCACACACCCTCTTATGTGTTTAACGCCTTTTGCTTTGAAGTATGCATGTGAAATAGTACTTCTAAAGAGAGTACAACTCTTCATCAAATCTCCATGGATGCCAGAATAGGAGAAGCACAAGTACCAGTTCATCAAAGCAACTTTTCTTACGCTAGTCATGTTAGCTGAAAGCATGATAAAGGAAATGCAGACCTTCTTACCTTTTCCCCTTAGTTCACTCGCACGTTCATCTCGATACCTCAGATTCATAAGCGCATTGCCAGGAGTAGGCTTATCTACCCAAATAGAGAATCTCCAAATCAGAAACTCGAGGAACGCATCAAGTTCCGGCTCGTATTGAAATAACATCCCTGGCTAATCCCCAAATACAACGAAAGAAAAGAACATTACACAACTTTATCATAGCTTGTTTTCTTCTTTTGGGCAATTACATTTGTTTTTTAATATTCAGTCAAACAACAATCACAAAACCAACAATTGGGTACCTTCATTAATGAGAAGACCTTGACCAACTGTTCCTTCAACATTGCTGCCATTTCAACATCGAGCCTCCCTGCATCAAATTGGTTTACCCTAGAAATGGCAATTGGTAACTGAGCCTGCCATATAACAGTCCACAGCAATCAAACCCTTGCAAAGGACATTGGTAGCAGTAGTAAATCAAACACAATGGGAATTTCTCTATAGCCTGAATAAAAGAACGCAAATCTCCCCACAAATTTTCTCTCCGAATAGTCCAAATTTCAGAGGGCACGTTGCCAAACAAAAACTAGTGGCTGGGACTCATGTTATCCGCCTGGGAAAATTCTCTCAAAGCTCCCAGAAGCTGGGAGCAACAAAGGAGGAAACAAGGCCACAAAAGCTCAAAGGATGGAATTGAAAAAGCAAGCCAGACGAACAGGGTACCTGGTGAGAAAGAGCAAGGGATTGCCACTGAGGAAACAACCGTTGGTGGGCAAGTCGCCATTCATCTGGCGGTGGGGTGGAAATGGAGCCGGAGCCATCCATTTCCCAGTAGATGAAGCGAGAAGGTTCAGGAAATTGGTGAGGATAAGATTGCAGAGCTCCGCTAGGGTTTTCAAGTTGCTCGATTTACTTGGAGAGCGTGAAGGTGGAAATCATAAAAACCGAGCGTGAGGTAAGCAACAGAGGACAAGAATTGAGGTGCCTGCTGCTTTTGCTTGCTGTGCTCAGCAATCCGTCATCAGTATGGCGGTATCAGTCCCATTGGAGCTCGGTGGTGACAGGCGATGCAAACGTTAAGAGAGCTCTCTCCCCCTCTCTCACTCACTCATTTCCTATTTAATATTTTGCCGTTGCTTTTTCGCTCGCCGTTGGCTTTCGCTTCCTTTGGGAGAAACTTGTGTCCATTTGTTTTTTGCGGGTTTTTGGATACATCTTTTTTTTTTTTTTTGATCAGAACCTGCATTCAGCTTTTATTGATATGGAAAAGTTACATCATCAATTTTAAGCTGATCAAGCAGAATCAGCGGAGGCCTATCAAACCAAACTTCCGCTCTATCCCATAAAGTTCTAACATGCGCCATAATATGCGCAGCTTCATTAGCCTTTCGACTAACATGTTGGATCGTCCCCCCTCCTGTCTCCTCTAGCAGCTTACCGATATTCCTGCAGATCACCCCTAGCTCGGTTTGTATCCCTGCCGCTCGTCTGACCCCTGCCACCACATTCACACAATCCACCTCCATAATCGGGCTCACCATATGGTGTTGTCGCGCCAGCTGTAACCCGAACTCGACAGCGAGTGCCTCCCCCATTGTCGGATCCTGTATTCCCCTCACCTGCTTCGCAGCTGCCATAACAAACTCTCCCATATGATTTCGAACCACCACACCCAGCCCTACACCCTCATCTCCAATGCCCGCGTCCGTGTTAATTTTCAGCCTCCCCTCCTGCGGCCTTTTCCAAATTTGGGTATCCCCCGTTAAATGATTTTCCTCGCCTTCCGATTGGTGCAACCGGTACTCATCAAGGAACGCCTCCGCCCAGGGAACAATCTCCATCTCCTCCATCTTTGTCCCATTGAAGAGTTGAGCATTCCTCTCTTTCCAAAGTATCCATAATAGGACCACCCAATCCTCTAGTACATCTTCCGGGACCGTCTTCGCCACCTTCCAAAACCATTCCAAACAGCTCGCATCCTCTCTTAAGTCAAAGCAATGGGCAACCCGCGAGGTCCTCCAAATCCTGCTGCTCCACATACACTGATGGAACAAGTGAACTTGCGATTCCACTTGATTGCAGAACGGGCACGAGTCACCTCGCCTGGGATTCCGCTTGTTCACCTGCTCACCAGTAGCTAGAGCCCCCCTCATAAATTTCCACATAAAAATCTTAATCTTTGGAGGTATATTCATCGCCCAAAGGCGATTCCACATGGCTGGCTCCCCCACACTTCGATTCCCCTTCTCCTGTTGATGCTTCCCCAGCCAAGTTCTATATCCGTCACGCGCCGTGTACAACCCGTCCTTACTATCAGCCCATATCATGCGATCCGGCTCCCCCAAGTCTCGTAGAGGAATTTGTCGGATGGCTTGCACCATTTCCTTTGAAAAACAGCTCTCGAGCACCGTGTCATCCCACTGCTCAGTACCTTCTTCGAACAGATCACGAACCACTGCATCCACCGGGAGACCAGTCGGAGGGGATTGAACAATAAAGCCCGGCGAGGCTGGTACCCAGCGATCACCCCAAACTCTTACCGATGCCCCATTCCCAATACGCCAACGCAGTCCATCCACCAAAAAATCTTGCGCACTCATGAGGCTTCGCCAAACATAACTCGGGCTCCCTCCCACTCGCGCGTCTAAAATCGATACCTTCTTGTGGTATTTTGCCTTCAGCAGCCTCGCCACTAGAGATTCTGGTCGAGTATAAAGGTTCCACACTTGGCGCGCGAGGAGGGCAATGTTAAAGCCACGGAGATCCCTGAAGCCCAACCCCCCTTGTGCTTTTGAACAAATCAATCCTTCTCTCGCAATCCACGGAATCCGCTTCTCCTGACCCTTCTGACCCCACCAAAACTGAGTAATTAAGCTGTGGATCTCATCAATAATCGCTTCCGGTACTTTAAAAACTGACATCGTGTAGGTTAACTGAGCCTGGGCCACCGACTTAATCAAGACCTCCCGAGCCGCAGCTGACATAGTCCGCTCCTTCCATCCAGACAATTTCTTCCGTACCCGGTCCTTTAAGTACACAAACAGCTCTTTCTTCGATCTCCCAACTTGAGTAACCAGGCCCAAGTACTTGTCATGCTTTTCAACCACTTTCATTCCCAACGTCGAACTCACCATCAGCCGCTGGTGCGCCTTCACATTCGATCCAAAAGTAACCTCCGACTTATCAAGGCTGACCAACTGTCCGGACTCCGATTGATAGTCATCCAGGATCCGCCGAAGCTCCAACCCTTCTTTCACTGTTGCCCTGGCAAAAAAGATAGAATCGTCAGCGAAAAAAAGATGGGATATCACGGGCGCTCCCCTTGCTACCGATAGCCCATGAATCCTCTTCTCCCTGACCGCTAACTCCACATAACTCGACAACCCCTCTGCTACCAATAGGAATAAATATGGTGACAGCGGGTCTCCCTGCCGAATTCCTCTTCCGGGGGCAAAAGACTGTGATCGGTGCCCATTCACCAGGATAGAGTAGGTCACTGACTTTACACACATCATAATTCTCTGAATCCAACTTCCGCCAAAGCCCATTCTACTCATCATCTCTTCCAGGAACCACCATTCAACCCGATCGTAGGCTTTCGCCATATCCGTCTTCGCCGCTAAGTAGCCAGTTTTGTTCTTCGTTTTCTTCTTCATTGTGTGGAAACATTCAAAGGCCGTCATCACGTTATCAGCAATAAAACGTCCCGGAACAAAAGCGCTCTGCTCTGGTGAGATGATCTTATCCAACAAAACTTTTAATCTGTTCGCCATCGCCTTTGAGAGCACCTTGTACATCACATTACACAAACTTATCGGTCGGAACTCTTTTGCCATAACTGGATCTTTAACTTTTGGAATCAGTGCAATCAAGGTATGGTTCAGCTCAGCCGGCATAACCCCGCTATCCCACGCCCCAATCAACAACTCGGAGACCTCGTCCCCGATAATATCCCAATAATTCACAAAGAACAAGACTGACATACCGTCCGGACCAGGGGCCTTCCTCTTTCCCATTTGTCGAAGTGCTTCGTAGAGTTCATCCCGGGTCATAGGCCGGTCGAGCCACACGTTCATTTCATCATTCACCCGATCTCTAACCGAATCCAACACTGGCGTCAAAGCCGGTCGATCCCCAGCCATGAACAAATCATTAAAATACTTAGTAAGGCACGTTGAGACATCTTCATTACCTCTCCACCACGCTCCTGACTCATCTCTCAGCTTGCGGATCAAGTTACGCTTTCGACGCATGGTAGCTTTTCTATGAAAAAAGCTCGTATTTTTATCGCCCTCCCGGAGCCAGTCTGCTCTCGACCGTTGCTTCCAGAAAATCTCCTCATCACATTCCAATTCTTCAAGCTCAATTTGGAGCTTTTGTTTCTGTTCTAAAACCTCATCTGTTTTCTCCCTCCTGTCCAAAGCCCTTAAAGCCCGCCGAATCTTCTCCTTCTGGCGGCCAAAATTGGGGAACGTGACCCTGCTCCAGCGATCGAGCCTCTCCTGCACATTTGCAAGTTTAACAGTCGCATTCCCGGGGGCTGAGTTCCAGGCTTCCTTTATGGTCTCGGCGCATTCCGCATGTTTTACCCACATTGGCTCAAACCGGAAGTTCCAGCCCCACTTGATATCATCTTCATCCCCCAACGTCTCACAAACAATAGGCCGATGATCAGAACGAGCTGCATCCAAGTGTAATACTCTCGCATTCGGCCATAGGTTTTGCCACTCATCATTTGCCACATACCGATCCAATCTCTCTTCAATGTATCCCCCTCCTCGTCTTCTGTTCTCCCACGTAAAAGGATATCCATGGAAGCCTAGATCATGTAGTCCCGACGCCATTAAGCTATCAGCAAAATCTCGCATTTCCACTTCATTCCCGAGGTTACCCCCCTTCTTCTCTCGGTCCGATAATATTTGGTTAAAATCTCCCCCACATATCCATGGTCCCTCCCACTGCCTCGCCCGATCGCGGATTAGTTCCCGTGTTCGATGTTTCTCATGCCCTTCAGCCCAGCCATAGATACCAGTAAAATGTTACATTATTTTGTTATATGATATTTTATGTCGGTTTGAAATGTAGTAATTTGATCAATCGTCTTGTTTGGAATCATGGTTGTCATGTAGGTGGCATGTCGGTTCAACCGGTGCTGGTCATGAAACCGGCATGATATCAACAGTAGTGATCAATTCAAGATTTTAAGTAAAATGACATCATTTTAGTGAATTTAATTAATCAAATAAAATTATAAATTATTTTATGAATTTAAAAGTTAAAAGTTAATGTTATTTGTTTTATTCAAGTATAAATATTTACTTATTGGTGTTAAATGTTGTATTTAAATATTGATGTATGGTTTTCACATTTTTACATTTTTTGTAAAACTAGTATGAAGGGCACAAACCGGTTGTACCACCGGTAGAACCATTCCACTTACTAAACCGGCGCAACAGAATGAACCGACATATAATTTTTGTTGTTATCAGAAGTCTATGTATATGTGGTGATTGAAACTCTTCCTTTGCTCTTTGATTCAAAAAAACTCAATCAACATCGCCTTTTTCTCCAAGAATATATGATAACAATCATCTTTTATAGCTTTCTTCCTAGATATCTTAAATAGTGGCTGAACAACTATCATGAATTGCTTAAACCCTTCACGCTCCACAAGTCAAAATGACAACTCATCCATAATCATCATCAAGGCTAAAACATATCTAGCTTTTGCTTGATCAAACTTCCATAAAAGACTTACTTGACTTTGACCACTATTTGGTGTCTGCAAGTTCAATACTGCCTAATTGCTCGATGCTGCCACCTTAGCCATACATGATTCCCGATGGTTGTTCATTGCAAAAGTCTCGTTTTTGGAAGGATGAGTTTTGGTTTGACTATGACAATGTCTGCACTCTCCCATCGAATATTCGTCAACCACCACCTTCTTAAAATCTTTCCAGCAATCAACCTTACCCTCCGTCTTCAGCCATTTCTCTAGGTCTATGTTGCCGCCTTTAACTTTCTCTGAAGCGGGAACAGCCGTGCCAACAGTTGGAGTTGATGAAGATGGTCCAACTATGGTAGTGGTTGGAGTCTCAATAGGTGTACTTCCAGACTCGACAGAGGGCGAGATTCGATGGAGTTAATGAAGACGGTGCACTAGTTTCAACAGACCGACTTCCTGAACG